TTCCTGGTTTACCAAGTTTGAGGCATCCCAATTCCTAGCAAGTTTCTCCTCTTCCGAGCTCCGCTCTCCCCCTAAACTCCCTACTAGTGTATAAGGGCCTGTTCGCATGCAGCCAAAATCGACAGATTCTGGCGGTTTTGGCCGCAACCCATCACCGCGTGTGATCAACACTTCGCCAAAAGTTGGAAAGGTACAATTCGATCGCGCGATCGTCCCATCAAAACCAACAGAATCTGCCTGCTGGTCGGGGGCACCTATCAGAATCTGTTGGTCCCAACATTCCATACCGAGCACTTGTATGGTCTAAATATGCCGACTGCCAAGGCCCGGTAGGGGCTTTGTATTTTCCATCTTTTTCCCTTGCAATTTAAATGCATTTTTTGGGGCTCAATCATTGGGCTTGCCAACACTCTATCGAACGCCTCGTCGAAAACACTGTTTTCAAGCGATCCGTCCGTACCGAAATCGTACAGCCCAAACCAAAGTCAACCCACTCGAAAATGTGTCGATCTTGGCGGCATGCGAACAGGCCCTAAGTCTCTGATTTCCTAGGTATATTACCTTGAGATTACAATATCCATGTCTTGGTCGGAGACGGCAAAACGTTCGTGTAACCGGCACGCCCACACATTGAACCTACCAAGGGCTTCGAACAGGCAGACATCCAGCTCGAAAACCGGCAGGCCGGTGCTGACATCACTACGATTTAATCGGTTCCTCCCAGGCAAGTTATCCAAACCCATCAAGCTGTGTTTGTCACCCAGTCCTTACTCCTGTTTTCCAGCCAGCTTGCAATGGCATTTGACGACCCGGTATGGCGCACTCCGCGATGAGCTGTGGTGTGTTGACAAATCATACAACCTTCAAGACTTCTGAACAGAAGGGTGGTGGCGCAGGTTCGTGTCCAAGCGCCCCACGCAACACGGCCCTCTGCTTCGCAATGGCAACAGGTCAGCCTTTGCTCTGCAGCAATTTGTCGGCGCCACCAGTCTCCAAGTGGGCAGCTGGAAGCGATTGCAACAAGCGCGAGGGGCAGTGGTGCCCACGAGGCCAGCGGCAGCTGCTTTGCTGCGTGACAAAAAGCAGACGGTCAACGTTGGAAGCTGCTCTGGGAGAATCTTCCTTCTTTCACCGGCAATTGTTTCGTGGTTGGTCTGCTGGCAGCAGTGTTGCAGGAACGAAACCTTCTTTCCCTTGGAGAGGAAAACTTGCTAGCACTCGAGGGAGGACAGTCGACATTCCTCTCAGTGACGATGGGCAGGCCAGTCAACTTGAGGAGCAAATTTTGTCACTGAAAGAGCGTGCATCACCTGGGGAGACAACAGGGCTGAGCTCTATAGACACCGGCTATGATTCCAATCGTGGCCCTGATTTGATTGAAGGGAGCGAGGCGGGGGATATCAAGCAATGCACCGAGTGCCGGCACACAAAGCCGCTGGTAGATTTTGAAGGGACAACAACCAGCTCCGACGGGCGCTACGATGTGTGCCGAGCATGCACGGCCGCCTCCCGGGCAAAGCGCGCCGGAAAAAGCCTCTATCACCTTGATTTGAGTGTCGCAGAATCGTGGGAGCGCGCCAAGACGTGCATTGGGTGTGGGCAAATCAAGGAAGCGCGCGACTTCGGTGTCAATCGCAGCAAGAAAGATTGCTTGAGCAAGTATTGCCGCGGGTGTGTATCTGCGCACCAGGCAGCGAAGCGCGACAGGGAGCCAACTGACGAACCTCAAAAGTGCTGGCAGTGTGGGCTTGTCAAGCCAGCAACTGAATTTCATGCAAACAAGAAGAGCCCGACAGGGCGGCGCAGGGAGTGCAGCCAGTGCGTGAACGAGGTGACAAGAGAGTTGAATGCACGGCGGCGGGAGTCTAAGGATGGGGCGTTTGTGAGGAGCAAAAAGCGATGCACGGCCTGTGGTGAGGAGAAGGCGGCCGAGCACTATCATCGGCGCAAGGGCCCGGCCGATGGCCTCTCGTACATGTGCAAGCCGTGTACGACCGCATACTTTGCGCGGTGGAAGGAGCAAAGACGGGCAGCAGCCAAAGCTCTGGCTGAAGTTGAGGTTAAAAATAATCCAGACGTGCTTGAAGAAAAGAAGGCATAGAGAACGGATGAGGCAATCAGATGGGCGGGGGGTGCGGAAAAAGAGAAGGAGAGGTGAGAAACCAGGGGGATGCGCCGAAGGGGCGAACGTTAACGGGCTCGAAAACGCAGGGGAGGGAAGTCCCCGGGGTGCTGAGAGACTCAAGGGGCAGATTCAATGAGAGTGCGGAAGGTGACAAGAAGACGAACGATGCAGGAAGATAAGGATGCGGAAGGGGCCGGAGTCACAAGGAGGGGCGGGGCCACTGTGTTTGGTGGCCGCTCAACTCTCAAACATGGTAAGAGACTGTGCCGAGGCTTTTGATCCTGACAGTGCATGTCTTGTAGCTTAGGCATCAACAATGATTGTTCCTGGTTGAAGAAAGCGGGTTTACCGTAATACTCTACAGGGAGACGGTGCACAGCCGACGAAAGGCCTCGTTGCAACAGGGCTTCTGACAGAACGCCATGCAGCAGACTCTGTCTATTGCAGACTGAGTCTTATTTCTGGGCCTTCTGGCGAAGCGGTTTTGTCCTGAGGAATGCTTAAGACCAGCGCGAAAGGCTCCTATTACCGCTAGCTCCTTGAGAAGGAGACTTTTTGCCCAAACGCTAATGTCAGCACTGAAGTAGTCAAAGATTGATTGGCAGCTTGAGAGCGGGACTTCGCCCTCAATTGTATGTTCCTGGTCTTTGCTGGGTCTGGTTCTGAATGAAGTGCCTTGGAAGGTACTCACTCTGTAAACTTGTTGCTTTTGCTTTCGAAACGTACGAGCGCGTTCCTCAGCGGACACCTGGAGGAATCTTGTCCATTGTTTTGTCTGCTTTCAGGTGGTATGTATTTCATATTCTTGAAAGAAAAATGACCCCTCAGAGTTCAATTGCCAGTTTGACTCTGTACGTCGCTCCGAAATATCCCCGCTTTGTTGTTGATAGTGCGATGTCTGAGCAGATGTCATCATAGGGCAGAGAGCAACTTAGCGTCAGTCACTACTTTAAGAGCCGAATCGTGTGCACTTTTGGGCCAGTTCCGTTGCATTGTGAGTCCAAAGCTTGTTAGAGCTGGCACGAAGCTTTTCGGTGGTGCAGTCATCGATGCAATTGTAGCCAATTTTTCCCCCTGCCCACGATGGTCTATCATAGATCCACCTTCGACTCTTACACAGACCCGAGCTTGACTTTAACCACTTTTCTGAATAGTGAGACCAGGACCAAACCCGGGTTGCTTGATCAGCATGACGTCGTGCGGCAGTTGTCCCAGTCTGACTATCTACCCACCTTCGTTCTTGCAGAGCTGATGTACGACGCATCTCGCCTCGCTGGATGGAGACAAGTGGCACAATGTGAGTAGTACCTTATATGTTTGGTTGTATCCCCCATTCTCCCTTCCAGAGTATACCCTTGATCTTTTATGGGAATCTGCATACTCTGCGCCTAAGTCCCGCTGCCATGACGCACTCTGAGGAACCGCTTGCATCACTGTAAGAGGTTAAATGACGTCCTTGACAGTCCGGGATGCTGAGCATTTTGCAGCTTATTACCTGCTCGCTTTGAAATTTCAAGTCGCCCAGGCGTATTGAGTCTCTTGACTAATATGGCAGCTCGCTAAGGCAAGTAAAAGGAAATTGCCAATTGCTGGGCTCACCTTTCTTCGAGAGCTTTTGGTTGGCAACTAGCCAACCTGCTTCATCCGCTTAGCCCTTTATAAAGTCGAAGGTCGCCCTTACGCGAATTTGGGGCAAATTAGTTTTTGTCGGTTTCGTTTCATGGCCCCAGTCATGCCCGACTTCGGTTTTGGAACCATAGTGCCCGACCTTTTCGCTGCTGTTGAAGCGTACTGAGGCGTACTACGCTTGCCCGAGAGTGCGGCAAACTTCAGCAAAACACTTGTGAAATCTGCGTGGACGATATACATAGGCACGTACGTTTATCGAAGTGTTCATCAGACCCATGCACGGTTCTTCACGAAGCTGATCTAGATTGTGTGTTTGCGGAGAGGCACTGCGGATCAGGCTTGGTTTGGGTTTTCTCCCCAGCGCACCCTTCAGAGAAGGTTCGAGGGCCGCTTCGGATGCGTGCTTTTGAAGAGCCGCTCTGAGAAATACACTATTGCAACAGGCGGTCTGTTCTCTCCGCCAGTTGATTTTGTGTCGCTGTGTCTTTGGGGGTTTGCATCCTCCGCTTTCAGCCTTGTCCATGTAAGACCTGCGCACAATGGGCTCCTTTACTTTTGCCGCTTCTCACGTCCTCAGGGGACCCCCTTTTAAAGCCTAAAAACCAGCTCCATCCCCTTGAAAGTGTCGGTTTTTGAGGCCCGTGATAAGCTTTCATGCAACGTGCAGGGCGTTTCCAAACAAAGATCTTTCATGGTTTAGTCCTTCGCTTCCTTCATTCAGCTTGTCCCCGCTCACGTGGAACGCCAAGCCGTCCTACCGATTCTTCTTGGGTATAACCTGGTACAGCCCCTGACGTCACCAAGCTAAGGGGTTTTTGCGTGCACTGAGCGGACACGTTTTGCAATGGCGTCTCGAGAAGCGAGGTCGAAGACAGTTGTCCACTACCAGTTGAATCTATTAGCATCTGAATGCTGTGGTACTTTTTCAGCAGCGTTCGCTTCTTTAACGTGAATCTCGTTATGGATTTGTCCAGGCGAATGGCGAGTCCGCCGCTACGGGGAGATCGACGAAGCCGCCGAAGAGGAGAGCCTGCCACGTGGCAGGCGGGTACTGGACGAAGGGCAGGCGCCAGACGGAGACGCGGCGGAGGAGTCGGACGACGAAGGCGCTGACGTCACTGGCGAGGGCGATGAGGGATCCCCGGACGAAAAGCAGGCTGGGCAGTCAGGGAGTACGTACGACAAGGGGGCAAGAGAATCAGAGACGGAAGAAATGGGCGAGAAGAAAGGACAAAGAACTAGAGGCACAGGAAGAAGAAGCGGAGGGGGAGAACGGAGAACCAGCGGCCGGAGAGTCGAGTGCAAACGGAGAACAGGGGGGTGCTTGGGCAGCAAATGGGGAGGGGGTTGGAAGCAGTAAAAAGACGAGGGTACTGGAAAAGTTGCTGGACGATGCGCTTGCGATGGGCCGGAAGGACATCCGAAAAAGCAGGGGAAGCGAAGAAAGGACTACGGAAATCAGGACACTTCGATTCTTGAGCACATCAACCGTCAATCATATCAAGCCTAAATGAAGCCAAAATGGGACCGCGTGACATTCGGAAAAAGAGTCCAGGCTTTTGTGACTTTCTTGTCCATACCGGCACCACTCCCGCATGTTTTCATTTACACGTTACTTGGCGTCGGTGCTGTCCAACAGGATTGGATTAATGCTTGCGCTACGAGATGGATTCAGATGTTTTTTATAGTATGCATAGCGTACTTCAGTGCGCACATCGTGACACGGTGTCTAAGGTGCCGCAGCATGAACCCATCGATCCTCTATCAGCATTGGGCCCGGACATGCCAGAGTCGATCTTTGATGCCAACTTGTAGCTTTCAAGTTTGACCGTTCAAATGTTGCATATTACATATGCGTGCATTACCGTCGCTTGATCCCTTATACCCGCCGTAGGCCGTACACTGCATGCCAGCTGTCGCGGCGGAGCTAGCTAGTGCATGTCAGGTGCAAGCTAGTATATACTCTAATGATTGTGATTGAGTGCATACAAGTACAAGCTAGAGTATTGAAGACTACATACAACTCGCAACTGACATATATGGTCAATTGCAAGTTCACTGTATACACGTATTTAAAATTTCCGAATGGACCAGAGCCGCTGTGAAATATTATGGCTTTGCCGCAAAGGATGGGGCACGATCGCTCGAGCGCGGCCGCCCCTCTTCGGTAAACCTTATAAACCCCCGGTCGGCGTCGACGGGAATGCACGTAATTACCTCCGGATAAGGTAGGTAAGTGACACTGGTCGGCAATCCCGTCCACAGAGTACAGAACATATTGTGATTCCGGATAGGACTGTTCATTATTCCGAATTCCAATGGACCCAAGGAAGAGGGATGGAGAAGTAAGGCGCCTTGGAAGTGCATCCTTCTTGTTCATGGCCACTCACCAACTATGTAAGCGTGAGCATGATGCAACATGAGAGGCTCCGCAGAGTGCCGGTGAATACGGCTGATGTGCATAGTGCACTGCCGGCGGCGGCGGCGGCAGTGTGCCCCTTTCTTTAGCGGAGACCCTGCAGTTAATTTGCGTCACACCGCCACGGTTGATCTTCAAAGTTCAGATCATGCGCATCAACATATCCGTGCCCTGACTTGCGGCCGCATGCGACTATATAAGATACGTCCGAGTCCATAGGCAGTGCACTCACTATAGGTGCGTGCGTACCAACACTGCAAATAACATTCCAACTATCAATGATGTCCTTTAATTTTTCAACTATCAATGATCATATGGGCACGTAAGCCATGCGCAGCCTGAGCGCTGGCCCGGCATGCTGGTCCACCATGACGGGCACTGTATATGGTGACGCGACTTGGCCTGAGAGCTTTCTAGCTTGGTTGAACTTTCGGACAATGAGTGAAAAGCAAACCGTAATCTACATATCCACTAGCTTCCTATTCTAATATCCCTGCTCTTCCGGGGTCTTTTCTTTTTATCATTGATGAAAGGACGTACGGTAAAAAAGAATTCTGCACGTTTAGCAATTGCCGTTCTCGATGGATGAATTGATCAAAGTCCCGAAGCAGCCCATAATTCCTTCTGTTCGCCTGGCAAGTGACACGTGTCAGCCTTGTAGCTTCTTCCAATATGGTACATCTTGAGCAGAGCCGGAACATCTCCTGTCGCTCCATTTCTTTGTACGCAGTGGTGAAACAGGGGGGGCGGGGGTGGCAGAGGCGCAGTCGAGTCCAACGGCGGACCCACGGCTGAGCGTATGCGAGCGTCCGGACCTGCACGGAGACGAGGACGGAATTCGTTTAGTGTCCAGAATCTACGTACGGAATCTGTTCAGCGTCCATGATCGGGGGTCAAGGCACTGTTTTGACAGTTGTTGCTGCCTTTAATGCACAGACAGCAAACGGTGGATCGAGTAAGAACTGGGATCTTCAAAAGCGACATTTGATCGGTGAACGGCTCTCGAAGCTCCAGAGAAGGGCCGCATGTTAGGTCGACGAAGATATCATTGGTCCGTTTGACCCAAGAAAAGATCCGAGCCGTTCGATGCTCCTCACCTGGCGCTCCAGAACCGCGTTCACGAGCGCCTTCAGGTGCAGCTTTCGATCGAGTCTCTCGGCCTGCGCCTGGAACCGCGTGCGAGCGCTCCCCACGCGCGCAGCTCTCCCGCCTCTAGTTTCTGGACGTGCCACTCAGGGCCAGCTTCTCCGCCTGCCACGTGGACTGCTGCGCCTGCAGCTGCGCGAGCCGGAGCTCGAGGGAGCGCATGCGTTCCTGACGTCAAAAAGGGAAGGAAGGAAGTTTGTAAGCCGTTCGGGAGAGGACAGCTATACCTCCAAGAAATGAGAACGAGACTCTGCTTAAACTTTGCCAAGTCGAGAATTGAAAGTTCCCATCAACTCAGTAGAAACCGCGAGACTTGCACTTGACAAGGAGGGTAATACGATCTGAAAGGGACCCAAAGTCATACCCAACACTCGGACAGCTTCGACTGCGTCAGTGACTTCGCCGTTTTTGAGAACTTCGGCCTTTGACACGAGGATCAACGTGTTCACAACTACAGTTTTTGTCTGTCGACAGGAGAAACACAAGCCTTGTCCATCAACAGAAGACAAGGCTTGGCCAAAGAAGAGAGAAGGGTGTACTCTATAGGAGAAGCACTGTTCTGGATACCAAGCCCGACTTCTGCGGAGCGAAGCTGATGATTGATTGGCGAAGAAGAATCACCTGCCTTTGTCTGGGTAGAATCCAGTGAGTGGCATACCCGAATCCCTCCAAGAAATTTTACGAAGCGAAAATGTCAGCCCGATGATTTCAAAAGCGAAGAGACTCACAAAGCTGAAGTGCTTTCCCAGCCTGGCCCCTTGGCCTCAGCCCTTTCTCTCTGATGTCGACTCTCAAACATTGCAATCCGAGGATCCATAAGGCGAGGCTTTCAATCCTCCCACAGATGTCACATTTGCCAACACAGATATCGAAAGGTACGAGAGGCTTACTCAATCAACCAGCCAGTCACACAGTACTTTGCCCCCTCGACGTACAGTTTCCAGATTCAACAGATGACGGGCCTCTAACACGTAGACATTGATCAACTTACCAGCTCAAAATTTCAAAATACGAACTTCTTTCCCATCCTACAAAATCAAGACTGTAAGTGCACGATAACCTACTTAGCCAGACTAACTCATCTAATTCTGCACAAGGGTTCTGAGACTGGAAATCTCAGACCATTCTGGGTTAGCCCACTGACCCACCTGGTCACGGATCCACTTGTCCTTGTTCAGTTGCACACCCCACCACCTTTGGCACTCAGCCACCCGCAGCTCCCACCGCACCTTCAACTCTTGCTCCTCGCAGGGGCCCACGTCTAGTTCCTCCAGCTAGCACACGCGCCCGCGCGCACACGCAATCGAGAGGGCGCTGCTCGAGAAGTGCTCACACTTTCCCGAAGTGACTACAACATAAGTACTATCTGGATTGTAACTTGAGTCCGACTAAACCTATGCACCCAGCTCAAGTACTGGAGGTGACGCCTCCGCCTCTTTGAGCGGCCCTGCCGCTTTCCTCTTCTTCGCCCGATACCGTGCTCTTGCTTGAGCCGAACTGCACGTCTTGCACGCGTATCCGAGGCCGTCCGCTGATGTCACATCGACATAGAACTCGCCCAGTTTCTTGACCTTGTCGCACGACCGACACAACTTCTTGGCCCTTGGAGCAACCCCGTGCCCTGCGAACGCCTGCCGGCGCAAGGTCACACTCTTATTCAAGTCTTTGCGGCACATTTTGCACACTATCTGGAGCCCGCTCCGCCGCTTCTTGTCAACATCGAACTCTGGCGCGGACTTCACCTCCTCGCATCGTGAACACCGTTGCGGCCCATCTTGCGGCTCCCACCTTGGTTTCACTGCATCTCTTTCAAAAAGGCACCCCCGGCACCAACGAGACAGCCTGTCTTTCTTCGACTTGTCCAACACAAAGTCGCGCACTTCCTTCGTATGCCCACAGCGGCCGCCTCGCAGACCAAACCGCCAGACAGGCTCTGCACGAGTCCGTCAGTCCATCAGCGCTTGTCTTTGTCGGCTTGAAATCTACCAGCAGCTTCAGATGCCCGCATTCGATGCATCGTCTCCTCGGACTTTGAGGGCCAATGTCCGAGGAGCCAGCCCCAAGCTCTGCCCTGATCACCACTGGTTTTCTAAACAACTTTGATGACAGCGCGTTTTCTTGCACTGGCCGCCTCTTATAGATCAAAGGAACACCCACGGCCTGCCTTTGATTACATATGCCAATGTCCCTTCCCTCAAGCAAGGCGTTGCTGGTGAGCGCTACACAAGGAGGCAATTGGGGCACTGAAGGTATAAGCCTTGTTGGAAAAGCCTTGCAGATACGCTGCAGTCTTGCAGCGCCACATCTGTTTGAAGTAGATGGGAGTTGTGCGCAGCCTTTCCATCCTGCCAGGTGCCAGCATTCATTTCTCCTGATGCCGCCCCGCTTAACTGCCTGCTTGAAAGGTGGTGCCGCTCCCCTTGTCGCACAAAGGGAAGCTTGAGCTGTGGCCATGCTGAGCACAGGGGAACGGAGCTCACAGAGCTTCTTGGAACTGCACCTAGCGCCTAGAAATTTGCTGCGAACACCATTTCTAAGTGGAGTGCTGCAGGTTCTGAGCTGGAGACCAGGTCTGAGGTTTAAGTAACCAGTATTCAAGATATCTACCCGGCCTACTTACGGCGGAAAAGCGTTTCTGTAATAGGCTCGCTTCAGAAGGCTTGCAAGAGTCTTGGACTGTAAGGCAGACGCTGTGAACGGAGGCAAATTTCACAAGGAAAGATCCCCGCTTATACTAGCAACAAGAGGTCGGGAGGTGATAAGCTTCCAAGAGAAGGGCGCCTCTCAATCACAAGAAATCCGTGAAGTCTGAGAATGAGGGCAGAGGTGGGGAAATCCACCCTTTGTACTCTCCTCAGCTCAAGTCTAGGCTGAGAGTCAGTCTAAGCTATAGTGCTTAGACTGGGAGCTAAGGCCAATCAGCGCCAGCCAATCAGCGTGCAGTATGCATAATCCGTTATTCGAACCAGGGGTGGCGGCCGTTATACTCTTAATCTAACGGTGTGAAACTAACCGAGTGCGCAAATCTACGGTAATATATGAACCCGCAAGACTACGTGTCACAGACGCCTAGCTTGGAAACCGGCAATGCTGCCAGATGCTGCGGCCTTGCTAATCAACGCCGGCAGCGTTGCGGCTCTGATCGGCAGCTACCCAAACCTGATATAACCCAGTGATCCGATGTAGACCCGATATTCAAACCCGTCAGGCTGTGGACTCCAACCCACCTCCGGGCAGCTGGCTGACGTGCACAACTTCAAGTTCAAATTCAAAGAGCAGCTCATGCAAGTTGCAACCTGCAAACATCTTCGAAACTTTTGCTGCATCGCATCTTGCATTTTTACCAGGCGACGACTTCATCTCCATTCCGCAGTACCGCCCCTCGCCTGAGCGCCTTATGCTCTGCGATGGCAGCTGCTCAGTCCTTCATTTGCAAGAAGGCGTCAGCGCCACTGTCAACCAGGTGCGCAGCTAAGACCGGCTTCAACAAGTGTGGGACGCGGAGAGGCCAGCTGCTTCACCTTGTGACCAGAACCGAGGGGTCTATATTCAGAGCTGCAGCAGGAGAATTGTTTCGTTTTGGCTTGCGTGCTAGCTGTAATGCACAAAACAAAGGAAAGGTTGCTGGCGTTCATGGAAGGACAATCACCGCCTCTTTGACCGAGGTTGGACAGGCAACTCAACTTGAGGAGCGAGATACACCTGGCCCTGATCGATCTGTTGCCGGCGAAACGGACGAGTTCAAGCACTGCACCGAGTGTCAGCATTCAAAGCTTTTGATAGACTTTGAGGCGACGACCACTAGCGCAGACGGGCTGTACCATGTGTGCCGAGCATGCATGGCCGCCTGCCGGGCAAAGCGGGCTGGGCAAAAGCACAGTCACCTTCAAATGAGTGTCGCGGAATCGTGGGAGCATGCTAAGAAGTGCGGCCGGTGTGGGCGCACCAAAGAAGCGCGCGACTTTTGTGTGGATCGGACCAGGAAGGACTTGTTGAAGTTGTATTGCCGGGGATGCCTTTCAGCAGGCTTAGCAAAGAAGCCCGCACGTGAGCCACAGGACGAACCTCGGAAGTGCAGGCAATGTGGAGAGGTCAAGCCAGCGATGGAATTCCATGTAAACAAGAGGAACAGAATGGGGCGGCAGATGATATGCAAGCTGTGTACGAACGAAAAGATAAGAAAGTTGAATGAGCGGCGGCGGAAATATGATGGTGGGGCATTTGTGCAGAGGAGCACGAAGCGGTGCTCGATCTGTGGTGAGGGGAGAACGGCCGATCGGTTTTACCGGCATCGGTATTCGGCCGACGGCCTCTCATATGCGTGCAAGCAATGTATGAGTGCAGGAGTCGCGAGGTGGAGAAGGGAAAGACGGGCGGCGGCCAATGCTCTGGTTGAGTTGCCGGAGGAAGCAGGGATCTCTGGGAACAAAGCGCTTGAAAAGGAGGAGGCATAGAGTGGCATTGCGGAAAAAACAGAGGAACAGGTGAGAAACAAGGGAACTGCGCAGAAAGGGGCGAAAAGGAGGAGAGGCGGGGGCGTGCTGGGCAGGGGCCCAGAGCAGAGTCCATCGACGTCGGGGAGGTGATTGCAAAGGACTGCGGAAAGGAACAGGACCTCGGAGGGGGCCGGAGTCACCACGAGGACTGCCGCTGCGCTGCATTTCGGTGACTGCATTCGACTGTCACACGCGGTAAGTGGCTGCCTACGCTAGCGTTTTGGTGGGGCTTTCATGATGTCGCTGCATGTCCTTTAGCTTGAACAACACCAGACATCAGGTACGATGTAAGGGAATCGGGCCAACTTGATTCTTCTACTGAGAGAGACCATGCACAGCCGACAAAGGCCCTTTGATCTGAGTGCTTTCTGGCAGGACGCTGGACTGTTTCCATGACTTCGTATTTCTCTTGAAGCACTTCCGTCTTATGGTCAGATCACAGAATGTGGAACCGAGCAAATCTGTCAGCGAAGATTAGGGAACTGCTATTGAGGTCGGAGTCTACTTTCCAACCCTGATGTCTTCAAGCACACTCAGCCCCACTGGACTGGAAATCCTGTTATAGGAAAGTCGTGGTGATAGGAGCCTTTCGCGATCTCTGCCATTTCTTCAGACGAGTTGTCAATGTCTTGGGCTTGTGAGCGCGTTTCTTAGCAGACATATGGGAGTCGCTACACAACGTTGTTTGCGCCAGGTCGTAGGCATCCCTTTTTGTGTAAGAGTAAGTGTCCCCTCCAATGATGAACTACTTTGCTTGCTTACGAAAGCTTCTGCAACCTTTTTTGAAGATTGCATTGTGGCTGAGCAGACTTCAGCGTACGGTTCAGCGTCTCTGTGATCCTAATGAAGCCGAACCTGAAAAATCTACTGTTGGAGGAGAACCCAAAGCTTGTCAAAGCAGTCACGAGGCTTCTTCCTGTTGAATCCTTCGATGCGATTGAAAAAGATGTTTCTTCTCGTTCACATATGGTCTATTGGAAAAAGCACCTTCGACTTTCACATCAGACCCGATCCGGATATCGACCACGATTTCGGATTGTGATCAAGCAGGACCAAACATTGTACCGTTTCTTGCTGATCAGCAGGCACCACGTAGCTGCCCCAATCCAGTCGTCACACGCCTTCGTCCTAGCAGAGCGCATGCACACGAGTTTGGCTCGCCCTTGCTGAACAGGAACAATCTGCAAAATGGTGAGGCGGCACTTAAAGACCTTGAAGCGTCTAGCCGACTCTCAGCTCTCGATTTTCGCATCTTCCCCCTTTTCACAAATCTTACTACAAGCTGAACCTGCACTTTCCTCCTCTCTGTCCTGTTTCCTGCACACACGGAAACTGTCCGGGTTGTACCCCCCCCATGCAGAGAGACCGTGTGCTCCCTCGGAAGGGCTTATGACGATCTCAAAGGGCCGTGATGCTGATGAAATGAAATCGCCGGGGCGGATCGTTTCTACTTGACCATTGTGAACGGCTAGCTAGGGAGAAGATAGAGACGAGTCACTTGCCAGTTTTCGAGCCTACGACTCTTTGAGGCGTCTCATTCTGCTTCTGGTCGGCAAATGAAGCTTTTTTGTAGCTCGAATGTGCGAGATGCAAACGGCCATTAAAACGGCAGACCAGACTCGGCGCCCGCGATGCAGAACATGCGGACACAGAAGCTCGACGTCATAGCGTTAAGATGACACAGGTACCAGTGTCTCGGCGGTTCTGTTTCCCTTCTGATGTCGACGAGCCGTTTCCCCCTTCGTTTCAGAAGTCCTCTTACTTCGAAAGTCAGGACGAACTTTTTGCAGTATACGAGGCCCCTCCCAAAGTACTGATTACACATTTTCACCTCTTTTTTGCAGGTGGCCAAGACGATTGCGGCTGTGCAGAGCGCCTTGGACGATGCGAGGCCTCGGCATAGGCAACGCAGCGGCTTGCGGACGCGCCTGGTCGAACTCGGACTGTGTCCAATTTGCCTGCTTCCGATCGGAACTCGAGACCCGCCAGTAGGCTAACATGCTGTTTCGAGCAGGGAACGCTAAACTGGAGATTCCGATCCGCGACCACCAAGGAACGAGTTTGCCTAGACAAAGTCTGACAGCAGATCGCTTGCAGGAACTTGGTGTTCTACCAAGTTATTGACTAGGAATCAGACCTAGGATGGCCTCGAGCCGGGCATTGAGGCAGGACGGCAAGAATATTGCTTGCAAGCAGATCTTGATAAGACTTTTGGAAGCCTGCGTTTGCAAGTACTTCCAGGCTTGGCATGGCGTGATGCGGTCTATACCGAGCTGGCACTGCATTACATTTCGCAACGAGATTGCGGGCCGCTTGGTAGCATAGTTGCAGGTATATGGCGGCCATGCTTCACTTAATGTGGAACTCCTATGGCTACTAGGCCATACGGCCTAGCTCAAAGAACCCCACGCGTTGCATGGGAGCCAGCTTGTATTTGGTATAGACGATATACGATATTTCTGGGTTGGAGCCAGGGCCCGGCCCCGAGTTTAAAGTACCCGGCTTCCTTGTTTAACCGCGGTCAAGACATGTCCGACATTAAGCACGAGAGCCCGCATTCAACATTGAATATCACTCATAAAGTCGGTCAAGATATCGTGTCGGATAACGCTAAGCTTCTCACATATGAGCAGCCGGATCTAGAATGGCCGGCGAGCTTATTACTGATATATTCTCAGCCTCTGCAGCTGTCGCACTGACGGTGAGCTTAAGCAATTCGTCATGCTGGCATGTGGAGCCAAGGGTTTCCACTTGACAGGCATGCAGAAACTCAACTTAGTGGCCAGTGGACTCCGAGTCTGCGTCACGGTATAGAAATTTCAAGTTGCTAGAACGACCTTGCAAGAGTTCCGACGGTCATCAACGGTGTCAATATTAACGGAATGTCTCGAACCTGATGTTCAATGTCACCACATAGTATACCAGATAAATTGCAGCACGACCTTGTATACTAAAACAGTTAGACGAGCACAGCTCACCGCGGGTGCAGAAGTGAGCTTTTCTAAATTACAAGTACGTCTTGGCTCCTTTGAGGCAGACGACGTAGTATCGCATCTTATTCAATGAATGTCAGTGTGTCAACTTCCTTCCAAGTCGATAAACTTGCGTGCTTGTTTAGGTAATGCCTCGCGATCAATAAGTACAGCAGTGAGAATATGTAGCTAAAGCTCATATACCATGGCCAACTCTAAGAGCTGCGAGTACGGGATGTTGAGAATATGTGCTGGCGACCGGCTCAGGTTCAATAGGCCGTTGTAAGCTGACTCCAAGACCTGCCAAGTGAGGAAGTCAGCATCATTCAAAAGCTCAAAATATGGCTACATTTCTTCGGTTTCTTGCCCGCGATTAGGCAGAGAGCCGCCATATTTGAGAACGTCAAAAGCTATGAATACAGTAGATTACATTCTGGCTTCTGACCACAGCCATCTTCTTCATTTCCGGACACGAATCTGACGACAGAGGGCAATCCAACTACACCATCTTTCAACACTTCTGTGACAAATAAAGAGACTCTAGGGCAAGCTTTGGAAACACGAAGGGGACAATTCGAGCGGTGACACTCACGAACTTTCGCAGGACGCTGGAATCCTTCGCGGCCCTCACGACGGACCTTGTCTTCAGGTACAGGATGCGCTGGCGCTGCGCGTCCTTCAGCAGCTTCACCTGTCGTGCATAGTCCGATATCTCGACGCCAGTATCGTCCGGTAACAGGTCCTGCTCATCTGCGGAAATCCCGTTCTCGTCAATCGTTGTGTTCGCTGGCTTTTGGGAGGCTGGTTTGAAGAGGGGCGGCTTGGATTCTACGTTTTCAAACGACGCCTCGGAAGGAGGCGGACTAAGACCTAGGGCCTTTGAGGCGTCCGTCAGCGTGAGGTCCGGCATTCCGTTCTGCTCCGTCCCATTCAGTTGTGTTCCGGCGAGGGCGATTCTCGGGTTCAGCTTTCTGGAGGCGGCTCGAGAGAGCGACCACGTGGGGTCCTGCCCGTCGGGATCCAGCGCCTGAAGGTCCGGGCAGCTGGATCCGTGCTCAAGATAGTGCGCGATGGTCTTGAGGACTTGGCGCGCGAAAGCGGCGGAGTGGTTGGGCTGGTCCAGGTAGCCGTAGCGCGCGAGCACCCAGTAGAAGCCGGGGTACGCCATGGGCTTCACCAGGAGGCGCTCCTTTTGAAGGACGTGGGGGACAGGGACCTGAGGGGAGACACAAGCGGGATATATAAGTGCAGAATGAGCGGGCATAGGGGGAGAGTATAAGTCGGGACTTCTTTTTGAAAATGTGGAGAGTATGATGACGAGGGAGCGTTCCTTCTAGAATACGTTAGGTAAGAGGACCAGTAAGGGCGAGAAGGTAGGTATAAGCGGATTGAACGGCAGCGGGCCATACGCGGAGACACTTTCCGACATTATGTCAAAAGTCGTTCGCGAAGTTTTGCAGAGGAATGTTGCCAGGCAAGCAATAGACGCTCACTTGGGAGGACGGGAGTAAAATGGACAAGAAGCCCGAGCAAGGTTTGTAGGTGAGGATACTGCGACGTGAGTGGGAATATAAGCGAAGCATGATGCGGTACCGACAAGACGTACGTACGGAAGCTTCTGATACTGGGGTGAAGGAAATATAAATGGTGAATTCAAAATGGTTCTTGAATGAACTTACAGGGGCAACAGACACACAATGAGGAAAAAGATCAGTTTTTCTGACTTCACCCCTTTTCAGACTTACTTGAGTCAAAGAGCCTTGATCCCCCGGAAGTTTATCGTGCGAGACCAGAAAATCAGAACAAACAAATCGAAGCATCGAACCCAGAAGACCTTCTGACCGGTTAAATGCTCGATATGAAGTAGAGAGAGAACAACGTTGTAGCCTAGGGCCAACACGTTGCGAGGCAGCTGATCGACCAGCGAACGGACTCAGACATCAAAGAGTGAGGCCTGCAGCTAAATTTTCGCACCTGTCGAATGGTCAGGAACACCGTAATCTCGTGGACCGTGGGCATGGCTTCGAGCGAGAATGCAAAGATGGGGGGAAGGTGGTGTAGAGTGTCGCAGTAGAAGAGGGCGGCCCCCCGAGCGGCATATATCCTGTGGCCCGAGCTCTTGAGGCAAACCTTGACGGAGTCGGACGGTGCTGTCTGCAAGAAGGAGCGTGGCGCTTCAGTTCAGAGATCAGGTTCATAGGAAATGAGATTCGGTTCTTCGAAACCTCCTTTTCCAGATTGACAGAACCTCCTTTTCCAGATTGACAAAAGCTTTGGATCATGTTACTAGCCTCCAATACAAATAATAATCTGTTGAATACAGGCCTCCTTTCAGCGCGGAGAATCCAGATCACCAGGCGAGTCACAGAAAGAGGAAGAATCCTTCCGGACCCGACAGTTCCTCGCTGATAAAAATAAGGTAACGGACGAAACATCTTAAGACCTGAAGCGGAGAGGACGTCAAGCTTGCCTGCGGGGCCTCCTCAATCTCGTTCTTCTCAGCAACAATGACGTCCTCCAGTTGGCTCCCCAGCTTGGCGCTGTGCAAGCAGCGCTGCGTCGAGCCCCAGTGCCAGACGTAGCTGATGCCGAACACGATGACGGCGATCGCGAGCGGGAACCAGCCGCCGTGCTCGACCTGCAGCCGAAAATTGACCGTTTTGTCCGCGGAAAGGGTTGCACAGGGGCTATCAAATGACAAATCAAAAGAATTCGTAGCAGACTCTTGTACCCTACAACACCACCACTACTAGTTGACCAAGGAGATTCTTTTACGCTTAGGCTGCTGAATACCGAATGCGGGAAGCTAGTATGAAATTGAGGACCTTGAGCCGCCGAGACCACTGCAAGCCCTCTATGCAGTGCAGAAGTCTTCAAGTCTTCGCAACAATTCTCTGAAATCCAGATTTCTGCTCATATACGGCTGAGTGCTGATCTGCTCCAGCCCTTCACGCTCAAGCATAAAGCCTTGCGCGCTGGTCCTAAGCAGCCCCGCTTACAAAGAACGTCCGGCCAACATCCATCCGACTAAGAAACTTTACTGGGTGACTCACCTTGTATACGTTGGCTGAGAGAAAGACCATCTCGAAGACAAAGAAGAAGCCGAAGAAGGCGGCGGCGAGCAGCGGGCGCACGTTCCATACGAGCAGCATCACAAGCGTGACGAGGCACGTCGTAATGACCATTACGAACATCACCGCGATCCCTGCGCCACAAAAGCCCCAGAAAGACTCATTCTCTCGCTAGGAGAAAAACGTAAGTTTCTTTGGGTTTCAACAGGAGCAGTCGCGCATGGTGAACATGCCAGAGCTCCCCGACTGCAACTGAAGATACAGGTTCTCAATACGAGGCTTGAAAGTCACGCTTGTTTTTGCTCGAACAGTGCATGAGTACATGGTCTAATGAAGATTGAACGGAGGCCCCCTACCAAGCTTCCAGTCGGCCGTATCAATTAATCATCTCCATTTCAAACCGTGACAAACAATAAAGAGCTGCTCAGGTATTCGTAACAAGCAGGCTGTTTGAAGTGCACGCAATCAGTCAGACTTTAAGCGGGAGCAGAACCCCCCAGCAGGCAATCCAACAATTAGTCGGAGGGACGTAAGCAAAGGCTCGCGCAAGCGGCTGGTTCGAGCCCCTCGAGATATCCGCTGTACTTTAGAGGCTTGTCTGATCTCAAAACTGAAGAAGTGCTATTGATACACGCCGGTATAGAATGAAAAGGGCCACATAGTAGAACAAGAGTTGATCAAGAAAGAAAGGGAAGCAACTTGCCAAAGGCGTTGCCGAGTGCCTCGCCATTGACTGGCTGGTCGCTGGGCTGGGGGAGGGAGAACCCCAGAACGCAGGCAAGCCCGAGAACCATCAGAATCCAGTTGACTTCGGGGATGTAGATCTGGCCTTCTACCACCTTGGACGTGTGAACTACCTTCACCCGGGGGAAGCAGTTGAGGCGGGCAGACTGGGCGAGCACAGAGAAAGTGCCTGGAGGATAGACATCGTTAGGCCAATCGCCTTGGTTATGATCGAAAGTTCCTCAAGGTTCCGCGGAATGGGAGCCTGTTTCGGCTTCGCTAGCTCAGAAGTTAGCAGAAGCGTATACAGCGGGGAGATGAAATGCGCAGAGAGAGAAGATATCCAAGGCCGCTTGTGTTCGGTCGAGACGGAGACGTCTGCCTCGGTGAAAATGAACCAATTGCAGGTCAAGGGATTAGTACCTGCAATGATAGCCTGGCTCGCAACGATGGATGCCAACATGGCAAGGACAAAGACCGGCCAATAGACCGGGGTTGGTATTCCCTTGTAGTAAGCCTGGGACACATCCCCAGGGTTCTTCGAGAGGTACGCGCCTTGGCCGAGGTAGATAAGTAGCAGGCTGGGGTAAACGAGGAACATTGAACTAGCCTGTAGCGTAGAGAGAAGGGTAGGATCCGAGAGTGGACAGAGACGAGTCAGACGCTTGGTAGATTCGATGGTCTGAATCAAACGCAGAAAATTATGAGACAGTACATAGTGTTTAAGTTCGAAAAGCTGACATAGAAGTTTAGAGCATGAGGCAGAATAACTCCCAACTTCCGCGAATAACTCCCAATTCGCGGAAGTTGGGAGTTATCACTGCGCGCAGAGGATATTGCACCTCTCAGCATGCCTCTTCTATCATCATTTCAACGAGCAGATACAAGCTGTAGCCCGCAGAAAAGCGCTTAAAGAGGAGCCTTCGATTAAAGGTGGAGGCTGCTGAAATTCGTGCAAAAAGGCTCACTCTGATTGACGACACGTTGAAGTGCCCCAAGTCAGCGAAGAGAGCTTCTACGCCGGTGATAGCTAGGCAGATGCCACCAAGGCTCTTCCAGCCGTTGAACTTGTTGCGCACCAGGTAATCGATGCCGTAGGATGGAGAGAACGCCTAGCAAATCGGAACGGAAATTGAGATTGATGTGAAGGCTTTTGGATCTGCAATGCTCTAGGTAGCTCAATCTTGCCAAAGCTGGCAAGATTATGCACTTCTTGCAAAACTGTGTCGACAGAAGAGGAGCGTACAAAAAGCGAGCAGAGCGAATGTGCATCAGCCCGTCAACGCAGTAATTTATGGAGGATCCTCACCTTGAAAATGGAAGGCTCCCACTTCGATATGTTATACACCCCGATCGAGGCGTTAACAACGAAATAGACAATGAGGATAGGAGCATAGACGTAGCCGATTTTGCTGGTGCCAAACTGCTGGCTTAGAAAAATCCCAATTAGGACAGCGCACGTAGCTCCGATGACCACACCTGAGAGAGTAGAGAAGGACAACATAATGAAAATTTGTCTTCAGCTGGTACCCAGTGGTAGTTACGAATCAAAGAACAATCAATCAATCAAGAACAAAGGCATAAACAGGCCTTAACAACAGACGAAGCTTTCAAAGCTACATCAAGCTTATGAATGTGACTGTCTCGCAAATCCTTCCAAGTTGATTGAACAGAGGTATCAGGCTGCGAAGATTCTTTACGGGTCTTTCATTGCTTCTCTGGATCTGAGGTGCGGATACCAGGTCCGATGTTTTGCCTCGAGGTTTCTGGCTATGCAAAGAGCTGCTCAAAGAAAAACTTTGTATCAAGACGAGGAAGAAACAAGCGAGACAAGAGCAGGAGGCTGCCGTTCATGCAGTATCTTACCATTCGAGATTTTTGTTGAGCCATCCGCGTTTAAAAGCACGGTAGGAACTTGCAGGCCGGTCATAGCTGAGAGGACTGCAAAATGACAAATCAGATTCGTGAGTTTTTCTGATTGACTTGCATATCTGAAGAATCACGAACGAGGGTAAAATCGTAAAATATCTGGACATTTGGACTGCAGGCCAGATCCTTTATGTACACATCTTCTCAAGAAGGATTTCAAGAGCTGGTATGCTTCAATGGACGTTACTCCTGCAAATAGCTTCTATGTAGAACTTATATTTAAGAACACTTGATGGCACACCTACCTTCAAGAGGCACAAGAATTTCAAACAGCAAGGGCTCGACACAGCCTGTCTATATCTAGGACCGTACGATGGACGAAATAAACTCAGGACCATAGTTGAGGCGCTTACCCGAAACAGGGGGCGTCAGCACTCCGTCCCCTGCTAATGCGCATGTGCCGCACAGCACAAAGGTCAACAGAACATTCTGCAAGAGCGGACTTCCTTCTAGCGCTGCTGCAAGCTTCTTCGGAAGCCGCCTGCGTTCCTTGGCGCCTTCCTTGGAGTATTGCGAAAGGCCCTTGTCGGAGTCGTGGAGGTTGCCAAAAGGTGTGATCTTTGCGTGGCGGCAGAGCAGGGAATACACCGCAAAGGTGCCACCTGAAGGATCAAAGAAAAGATTGCAGTAGTTGTTCTCAATGTGCACGGGTCTGACAGTACCAGCATAGGCTGTTCCTGGTACGTGAATACTATCGCGGTGAATGAATAGGGGCTCTGGCAAATCCTTGGATTTGTATGCATATTCTCTTTAGGTTGTTAACAGGTGTCTTCCATGGCCGCACAATGAGTACTGCAAGGGCTCATCTGACGCTGACTATAGTTGGGAGAGGAAACCGCTCGCTGTCCAGATTGCCTGCAAGTTCTGCTCCCCTGTCCATCTTACTGCCTACAAGATGAGCCAGCTTCTTGTCACACACAATGACACAAAGGCGATAAATAGCGTGAGGCTCACCTTCTCCTTGGTCGTTGGCGCACAGGACGATGACAACGTATTTGAACACCACAATAAGCGTGAGGGTCCATAGAACCAGGCTCAAGGCCCCAACGATATCGCTTTCAGTAGCTGGAAAGCTGAAACATGTCTGCAGATCAAAGAAGCACTCTTCAGGTAATTCTGTCATTGAGCGTAAGCGCCACCACGCCAACCAAATTACAGGTGGACGACAATGAAAGGGGAGAGATCAAATGCTAGTGCTGACAATATTGTTCTACCATTTCTGGTTCAGGCAACATAGCTGCATATAATTTGAATAAGAACACATGTTCAATTCGAGTCAAGATCTCCATCAGTGCTGTATGAGTAGGAAAGAAAGCCAGATACTTTACAACTTCAAGAGATTGTTTTACCTGCCACAAGTACATGGGGCTCGTGCCTGCATGTAGAGATCTGTTGGTCAGCGTAAGTTTGCGAAAAGTTGCGCAGCAGCAACTTTGCAGCAAAGCAAAGCCTTTCAGTGACTGAAAGGGATACAAGATCATCATGAGGAGAATGATGCCAGGACTTCCGTGCCAAGTTTTGTTCGCTCTTGTGCAACATCTTCGAATCCTACTTGCACAAGCAGGCAAAGGGGCACAGAAGGTGACTCCAAGCGCAGCTAGATCTGCTTTGTTGGAAGTCAGGATTTGAACACATAAGACCAGCAACTGGTCTTCTTCTTCCAGCTTTTGTAAGCAGTCCCAAAAGAACGCTCATAACTTACGTACCTAGGTCACCATAGACGACCCCAACTGAAGTGTACGTCAAACCGAAGAAGACACCCCAGCTTGCTGACGCCTGCAAAACGAGAGCTCCTGAGCTCAGTGCAACCAGGTACTGCTGTTAGAGCAATGCAAATTGAGCTAAAGATTGGATCGTCATACAAATCGGTTCTTGAATTGAGTGTTTGGGGGCTCAAGTCTGCTTTGTCGACATGATCGAACTTAGCACCCTGTTTTGTTCCTGACTCGACGTTTGATCCTGCAGCTCCCCCCCTCCAAATGCTTGTAAGATGTGAAACAACATAAAGTATAGAGGTGTACACCTTTGCCTTCTGACCAACAAGGGCATCCTCGAGGTCATGATCGTGCAGCCAGTCCTCGTCAGAGATGCTGGCAACCTGTGCAATGTGAAGAACAGGCGGCTCTGCATCGGCTTCACAGTTGCTGGGAGCGAGCTCAAGCGCTGTCTCCTGACGGCCCTTGAATACAAGCTGCTTAGGCTGCCTGTTTTCCATCTTTACAATGTTCCCGCGAAGGCCAATGGAACTTGACGGACTCAACGGCTCACAGTTCCGTTAGTAAAGCACTCAACGAGAAGTTCCGAAAGCTAGGAAGGTCCCATGCTGCAATGCTGATTGTCGGGGCACATGTAGAAAAAACAATGTTGCAAGCCCCATGCTGAGCTGCAAGGCAAGGCCACCGAGCTGATTGATCAGGAACCCTAATTCACGGTCGAAGGTCCTTGCTGTACACAGGAATCAGGACGCTCACGCCTAAAGACCATGATGGTACAGATGTTGCAGGCGTGCAATTGCACCCCGCCATTCAGGTATTCGATAGAAGAATAAGCTCTCCACAGCCAGAGGGCTAGAGGGGCAGAGCCCAATGCGACAGGGAACCAGGGGCAAGAGTCATGTGACCATCAATCATTCACATCGCAGTGAACGTGACTTGCAGCAGCTTGCAGCGCCTGGTGGGGATCCTCGAATGCGGATCAGTGATCACACCAGTGCGGCGAACTGCAAGCATCTGATGGGCCACGGTAAGACCCATACGCAGTACCCGACACGTACATGTACCAGTACATGCATCATGGGCCCGCGATCGCGGCAAATGCGACTTGCAAGTTGCGGCCACTTTATTGCAGCGGCGTCGGACTTCCCATTTCAGCCGGCCTTCCGGAAGGACTTCTCTTACCCATGTGACCGTCCGTTCAGGCCCCTGAATCAGATCGACGGTCCAGTGTGGGGCTACTTGGGAACGGAACGTGTCATAACAAAAATTCTCAATGGCGCGATGTTCAAATTTAGCTATTCTTATCAAGATATATATTCTTCCCTACTTATCCAAGTGCATGAAGCTGATCATGCATGTATACGTGTGCGCATGACAATGGCGGAGCCCCACACGATCAGGATGACACTTCCGCATTAACAACAGAGCATCTTTGGTACCACACAGCATGTACAATCTGGGCCTATATATAAGCACAAATGGAGGTGATATTTGAGTCATTACTTGGGGAAATGAATCACGCACCCACGCTGGCCTGATTCTTGTGCTGAATACGTGGCTTGACCCTTCAGCTCACAGACTGGATGTGCCCCTGATCGATCATGAGGAGTCCAAGCTCAGCGTGCAGATAAAGAACTTTCCAAAGTATATTGGAGACCAATGAAGGTGGTTGTAGGACCGACATCCCAACGGCTTGTAATGGTTCCAACGGTGGTATCTGCTCGGATCTTCTCCAGAAGTGGTCGAAGAGCCTGTGCTACTATGTTTCCATCTTTATGTAAGTTTACGGCCCCAACTCCCAAACTCAAGCTGGGCTCTCTTTTCTCGGTGCCTGATCTTCCGCAGGATGAAAAGGGCCTTTCAAGATTGAAGGCCGTTTCCTGGCAACGAACTATTTTTTGCCCCACGCTATCAGTCACGAAGCTACGGCCGACTGCGCTGCCCCGTTCGAACTTTCAACATTAGACTCCGCGTTCTCGTTCTCCTTTGGATGCGTGGCTTCGAATGCCTTGACCAGCTCCTGATCGAGGTTCCGTGCGGGCTCCCAGGAGGGCTCCTCCGAATCCTGCCACTTCACCAGGTACTCCGTCCGCTTCTTCCTCCGTCGCTTCTCTAGGATCTGCTCCGCAACGCCATATTCGAGTCCAGCCTCAAAGTCCTGTAAGCACACAGATGATCGCGTTCCTCTATGGCTGCGGACTTTTCCGAGCGACGAACCGCAACCTTTGTCTCTACGTCCAATTAAAGACAAGAAGGACACGCTTACAATCCCGCAATCAAGCTGTCCTGTAAGAGGCGGGCTGTCTTCACTCCAGACAATGGCTTCAACGCCCGCCAATTTCATCTCCTGACCTCATCTTAGTCTGACGAACGGTCCACATACTTTTCATCGTTGAGGCTTGCGCTCAAAACTAGCGCCAGTTTCTCGTTCACTCTAGCTGCAACAGAGCCACGGACGGCTATGCATACAAGTGAAAGGACGCAACAATTCTGAGAGGACGCACAATCTCTCTGCTTTGCAGCGGTGCACCGCCCAAGCTGTACCGCCAACAATGAAGCGACGATACCGAAAAAAGAAAGAAAGAGGCAAACGAAAACACGGTACCAGGTTGTCGGGCCCGATCGCAAACTACTGATTGATCGAAGTAACAGACGAATGGAGGCGACGAATCATTCACGAAATGAAGACTGAAGCCATCTACTGCGAGCCACACTTTTTGCTTCGGCCACGGCTGTGCGAAAGAGGAGGAAAGAAACAAAGAAACATCTGGACATATGGAAACCTAAGATACTTCTAAGCACGGATTGCTAGACAAAAAAGCTTGACTAAATTAAGCATACACAAAAGAACATTTCATGGACGAGCAACGGCAGGGGGTCCGCTTTTCGCAGGAATTGGCCCCCCTGGTACGAGAAAGCGTCCTCGTATCTGCTTGAGGGGGAAGGGCTGGGCTTGACTTTCTGCAGGAACTAGCCCCCCTGGTACGAGAACGCGTCCTCGTACTTGTTGGCTGGACTCCGCTGTTTTCAGAAAGCAAGAAATCAACATACCTGTATCAAGTCGTCCGCGATATTGGTCGCGGGCTCCCACGTGTCCTCCGTGCCGTCCGACCACCGCACGAGGTACTCGGTCATGGCCCCCGCTGTGCCGCCCTCGACCGTCCGCTTGTCCAGAATCTGCTCCACGGACACGTCTTCGTACACGGCGTCGTCCAGCATGTTCACAATCTGCGGAAAGAAAGATGTCAACAGATGGACGCTTGTGAAATCGGCATCTCGACGGTTGCTCCCAGTGAAAAGTTGATGAGCAGGAACAAATCGTTCGTTTGCGGTACGTCCGCTTGTCCAGAAATTGCTCCACGGACACGTCTTCGTACACGGCGTCGTCCAGCATATTCACAACCTACGGTGGAGGATTGATAAGTCATACAAGAGGACGGTTCGTCACGGACGTGGACGATCGACCTCAATCCCCGGTAAACAGGTGATGGGCAAGGTGAGGACTTCAGCTTTCTTACGATCTGATAGTTGTTGGTCAGCAAGAAACGTCACGCCTTTCGAAAACGATTGAATAGAGCAATCTTTACAGCATCAAAACCGTAGAGCCAGGGCCACGATGGAATGTTTTACAGCCTTCTTTAAAAGAAGGCTGCATAAAATGGGAGGGGGGGCTCAGCCCTCTCCTCGATACTGGCGAAAGGGCGTCGAACCTTTCCTGCGGTCTTCGAGAAAGGGCTCATATCGGTCGGTTGCAACAAATGACCATTAAACAACGACAGCGATCAAGATTCCTTCTCTCCCTCAAAAACCGAGACGCAAATTCCGGATGCCGCCAAAACCGATGCTAGGCCATCCGTTCTCTCCGCATAAAGCCTCTCCTCTCCTCAAAGCGAAGGATTGTCCTCATACCTGGTCGAGAGCGATACGCCGTTCGAACATCATGGGGTTCATCTTGGGCGTCCGCTCGAGCAGCTCGGTCACCAGGTCGAGCACCGTCCGGCCGTTCTTGTCCGCGGCCTCAGGGTCCGCGCCGAACTCGAGGAGCAGCTTCACGATGTTGATGTGCATGTACCCTGCAAAAAGACGAACAGTGAAGAAGTTCGGCGCGAAGCTCAGCACGCAGGTGTTCGTTGATGCAGATCAGTACTGCGGTGTTAGGTGGACTCTCCATCGTTTTTTGATTCTGCGCCAGTATTTTTCCAACCGCGTCTATCTTGCAAGAACTCAAGAAGCAGCTTCAGACTGTTCGTGTGCAGGAAGTTTCTGACATTGCGAGGTCTTTTCGGAACCTCGGCTTACCGTTGCACAATCATGTTGTGTGGAACTTTAGGAGCGTCAGACGATGTGAGTGGAATTTTTCTACGCTACTGGACTCCCCTTGAAAGGGTCGTGACTTGAACCTGCTCACACTCGATCACAGTCGTCACTTTCCTCGAGCCAAATAAGGAGACCACGACGCGGTCTGCACACACCCTCTCCAAGACTCTACTTTGTACAGGGAAGTGAACCCTCCCTGTCTGCAGTCATACAGGACTCGTTCCTTTTATCTTTTACAAACCTTTTGTGCCGTTTTTTGCGCAGTCAGGGAATGTTTGTGAACCTCAAGGAAATTGCTTGAAAGGATTACGAATCTTCAGGCTGACCTGCTGCAACATGCAGCCCCCTGAGTCCATCCTTTCCAAAGGCTTTCAATTTGCAATACTTGTCTTTCGTACATATCTTCGTTCATTTATCCAACTTTCTCCTGTCTTTGCTCCCGTCCTTAAGTTGACTCAAAATTTCCCCAGTTCTCGCCCCGCGCCAGAATGAAACCCCAAAACCTTATTCTGATCGGCACAATGAACAACAAGCTCAGTGACCAATAAGAAGACAGTGCTGAGACGATGGATTCTATGCGGGATTCAAGGTGTGCAAAATGTGGAAAACGTGATCCGTTGGACCCGTTCCGTTAGGTCGAGGGCTTTGATTCAGTCGCTGGGCATATTGTTCTTTAAGTTGAGGAGTACTTCATTTTTCGTCCTCACCTGCTGCAATGTGCAAGGGCGTAAACCCCTCCTTGTCTGAAGGCTCCACCTCCGCCCCCGCCTCCATAAGCAGCTGGAGCGCCTCCTCGTTCCCGAGCCCCGCAACAAAGTGCAGCGCCGTCCTTCGGTTTTCGTCAACCGCGTTGACGTCGCGCCCCTCGTCCTGCACAAGGCGTGTCACAGCCGTTGAGACTCTAGTGCCCTTCGTGTTCCACATCTGCGTTCTGTCTGAAGATGGCATCACAAGGTCTGCCAAGTGGAGGGATATAAGAACCGATGAACCGATCAATCCAACGCGATTCCCTTTTTCTGATACGACCTTGGCAGCTCTTCCATTTGCCAAGAGTCTGCTGTCTGCTTCATGCATCCTTTACTAACAAAAACTCTTAGCAGGACCTCTTCTCAGCTAGACTCTCTTGTCTCTTGCACCACTTCACGCCAGGTTTCAGGGCTCCTCCAGACATAAGAACACCACGTTTGCAACTTCTTATATTCAAAAGACGCTTGCCCCTCTCCGCACTTCATGCTTCCTTACTTCCTCCCGATTCCATCCCCTTTGAATCCATTGAAAACTCAGTAGCCATCTTCCTTCATGTCCACCAGCGTTGAGACCCCCTGCCTCTCTCCCCCAGATAATTCCTCTTTGTCCGACCTTTGTTTTCTTCCACTTCCACTCCTTCCTTCAAACAAACCTTCCCCTTTCTCCCTACCTGCAGAAACTCTGTAAGTGCCTTGACGTCTCCCTTCCGTGCAGCTTTCCACCATGGTTCCGTGTACGCGGCTTTGACGTCCTCTGCGAGATTCTCCGGGGGCTCCCACGTGTCCTCGTGACCGTCCTTCCACGTGATCAAGAATTGTGTCTGGCCGTCAAACACGCGGCTCGCCAGGATCTTTTCGACCTCTCCAAAATCCTCTGCAGGCAAGGTGCATTTTGTTTGAATCTAAAAACACACGTTTCTACACTTGAGTGTCTCAGTGAGGACTTGATTACTGTTTATGAACATTATCTGGAAGATGTACATGAGAGAGTACCTGTGTTCAAAACTTAAATCACAGTGTGCCAGGAACATGTTGCAGGCAGCAGGGCCTGCTTTTGCCCCGGCCCAAGCAGGCAACCGCTCAATATATGATATATATATCATATTAAGGCATTGTGAACATTAGGCTTCTTCTTGTCTTCTGTATTGCCTGGATACAACAGCTTATGCGCTGTTGTCTATGTGAGCCCCCGCTTCTCAGGCAGTACACTCGGAGAGGCCTTGCTTTCCACAGGATGCACACAGGTGTTTCTTTTGGACAAGAGATGTGTGTTTGGTAAGGAAATGAATTGTGACAAACTGACAGCAAGGCTTTTCATACGGCGTGTAGAATACTCATCAGATTGTCCTTGCAAAGCACTAACCAGGAATTTCAGAGAGGCATAGTTTGCAGCACATTTGATGTTTACATGGTGGCAGGGCACTAATGAGAGGGCGCCTATTCAAAGCTGCATTGAGGGATATAAACCTTTCTTCTTGCACAATTGTACCACTTACTTTTGCACGCTGCAATGTAAAACGCGCCGCTTAATTGAATCGTAAGGTCTAATTGTTCACACTTCCTCAGACTGGCAAAGTGATTGAAGTGCTTGACAGCCAGCCACTTCAGGGAACCCCGTCTTTGTCATACATATCAATTCCTTCCATTCACAAACTCAAAAAACCCAGACAGCCGTTGGTCGCTTGACCTTCGTCATTGGAACATCACCTGCAAGGTCTCTGCTTGTTCCCTCAGTCTCTTCCGCTTGCACACACACAATGACAGCGCGCTTCTGCTTGCTTCCACTTTGGGCTCCCACACCCTTTTCTCGTCTCCAACCCATTGGTAAAATGCCATGGCGACAAGCTTCAAAGCGTTTTCGCTGGAAAGAAAGTGCTTGGCAGCAACGCTTTTGAGCTCCACTCATGTTGCATTGTACCGCTGCCAGACTCCCTGAATTGCTGCGTGCCTGCCCAAATGTGCCCCTTTCTAGTTCTCTGCTGGGACTGCATTTCGCCCAGCCACTGGCATTCAACTTCGCCGCCAGCACGCCCGCCATCTTGGGAAGGTGAAAGACGTACCGCTCTCAAAATATGGTTATCAATGCAATGCTGCAACGTCAATGCAGTTGTCTTCAGTGTTAAGGAGTCCCACTTGCCAAAGTGTAATCGCTTCTGCAGGCCCCTCTTTTCCTCCTTAGAAAGGAATGCCGAAGTGCTTTGTCAAGTGCTGGCCCCTAAACCTGTTGCTTGGATGGCGTCCACCTCCCAGAACAGTGGCTTTTGCAAATGGCTTTTGCTCACCATGAGGGCAACCTCTATTGCAAGTAGTACAAAGAACGGAGTTGTAAAAGTGTTACCAGCCGCGTGTTACCCAGGCCGGCACTGTCGGCCGCCAGATTGCCGACGATTCCGTCGTTGCGCGTGCGGTAGCACGTCATCCAAAATCGGACAAAAGCACCGAGCGACCCTAGATGCTTACTGGTCGAATCTACCGGGCAGTAACTAACTAGCAGCCAGCCTTCCTACATGACCGAACAGTAGCCCTTCTCAGGTCAACTTCCAAACCGGGTTCTGAACAGCAACAGCACTGAGGCCCCCAGACCGAGGTCCAGTATACCATATCAAGCTCGGAAGCTTTAACCCGTGATCAAGCTGACCCTTAAAACCTACCTGGTTGTCTTGCGGCTACCCAACTCTTAACCAGAAAGCTGTAGATCGTCACCGAGGAGAGCAGATTGCCCGGGTGGCAAATTGGCCCAAGATGATGACGCACCTTAGGGTAAGGTCATTTTGAAGCTGACCCCCTATGTGCAGTCCAGAGAATGGCGGTTGGGGGTTTGGAATCTTAAGGGCAGCGGGAGGGGGGGGGGGCTCGGGGTTTCTGCCATGGTCGAGCCGCAGGCTCGGAATATCTCGCAATATCGGTATAAAAATGCCGTTTTTAGGGGCAAAATAAGCGCAAAATACACATATTCATACAGCCGGAGGGGGGGGGGGCTCCGCTTATCACTGGGTAGAAGACTGCGAGAGGGGGGGGGGGGTTGCCGTTCGG